CACACACACACACACACACACACACACACACACACACACACACACACACACACACACACACACACACAAAAGACACGCATATTCCAACACAGGATTACATACATTCCAGTCCATGTAGTAGCATTAGCCGTTTCCACTTTGTTGTGTGTGAGATTTCCACTGGACTTCTTTAAGAAGTGGAAAACATAATCTGGCTTTAATTAAAAATTACAAAAAGAAAAAAAAAAAAGAAAAATCGAACAAATCCTTTAATGTGTCAGCACATAGAAGGAAGCAGCATCAGTGGAGCACCTTGACTCGTTACGAGCCACGTGAGGAAGGTGAAGACTGTGTTTGTTGTCCTAATCTAGACGTCTAACTTTAAAACTAAACACACTTGCAAAATAAATTAAGCAGAATAAATATAATACTCAGAGGTCTATAAAGTACTTGAAAATATAACTGGGTAAAAGTAAAAATACCTTAACAGAAAATGACTTTGGTAAAAATAAATTTCACTGATGAGAAAAGTAAAAGTCATAAAACTATTCACAAAAATCGGGAAAGTAAAAGTATTTTTACACGGTCAAGAAATAAACTGTTGCGTTAACTTAACTCGTTAACAGTTTTTGTTCCACTGCTGGGCATTTCCAGACACTACCGGGGCTTTTATTTTGAAGACTAGTGTGCCAGACTACTTCCTCTGGATCTTACCTTTTAGTTTGGCACCCTAAAAATGTTGAAAGTCTTTTAAGCAGAGTTTTATAGTAACTAAGTACATTTACTTCGTTACAGTAAGTAATTTTCTGAGGATTTGTAATTTTACCAAGTATTTTTTGAAATCGTTACTATTACTTTTATTTTGTTACATTTAGGGATGCACGATATATCGGCATTAATCTCAGTTTCGGCCGATATTGGTCATTTTTTAGAATATCGGGATCAGTGTGATATGTAAAACTGGGCCGATATTAATGTCCGATATTGATTTCCCACTTTTTATCTTTGTGTTTCTGTTTTGGGAGGGGAGATGGTTTGTTAAGCAGCATCTGTTTGATCATGATAATGATACTGATGCTGCACAGCCAGGAATAACTGAATTAGAGCCATGTCAGAGGTCTGGTCGTTTATTTACTGTATCAAGAAAAGACCCAAGTGTGTTTGTGAAACCTAAAATTGATACTTTTACTTCTTTAACATTTGACACTTAGTTACTCGTTACAAAATTAAATAAATCCTCAAAATTACTTAACTTCTGTAACACAGTAAATATAATTAGTAACTATAAATCTCTGATAATACTTTGACGTTTCCTCTAAAACTATTTCAGTCGTGTTGTGTTTGTATCATCCAGCTAAGAAAGTTACTTTATRTTTTTATCAGCAGCTGTGCAGATGATTTTTCTGTCGTTCCTCTCATGAGGAAACGTCTTGCATGCAGTTTGTTTCATAGCCTCCAGTCTGAGTTTTCTGTGTTCTGACCTTCTTTCACCTTCTCGCAGAGAACAAGTCGCCTCCACGGCCGTTCGGCCTCAACCACTCCGACTCCCTGAACAGGAGCGAGCGTCTGGACGCCATCACGCCGACGCTGGGCAGCAGCAACAACCAGCTCAACTCCTTCCTTCACATCTACGTGCCGGACTATTCAGTCAGAGCGCGCTCAGACCTGCAGTATATAAAGGTGCGAGTGTGAAAAAGACAAGTGGGGATCTTAGCAGCAAACCAGTGACCGTGAGGAGAAATGGTTTGATGTCTTCAGGATAAAACCTGGTTCTGTTGTTCAATGTTGTATAAAGTACCTCAAAGGGATACTTAAATAAATATAAATATAGATGGAGGACAACAGAGCTGCTTCATGGAAGAAGAACCCCAGTTTAGCCTGTTAGGTTTGCGCTAGCGCCAACCCTATATTGCCTTATATGTATTAGCTCGGTGCTAGCGTGACAAACTAACAAGCTAAACTGAGGTCCTCCATCCATATTTTCAGTTCCAGGCTGAGTCATTTCTACCTTCTCCTCTCTGTCAACGCTCTCTGGTTTCATTTAAAAGAGTCGATCATCAGATATTGGCTGTGTCCAAAACGACAGGACGGGTCCTCCGAAGGTCGAATTTGTCGGTCGCATACGTCACAGCGCCGCGACGAAGGACGTCCAAAACCGAAGACTCCTCCGATGCGGCCGACAAATTCGGCCTTCGGAGGACCCGGCCTGCTGTTTTGGACACAGCCAATATCTGATGATCGACTCTTTTAAATGAAACCAGAG